AAGGAAATCCAGAATAGCTGGAACAAAGAGAACTCTTGGAAAAGTGGTGGAAGAGAAGCCTGGAGAGGCAGACCAGGGCCAGACTAGAGAGGGACTCAGGCCACATTAAAGATCCCACTCCAGGGCGCCTGGCCGGCTCCGTCAGTAGAAGGTGTGGCTCTTGATCTCGGAGTCATGAGTTCCAGCCCCACAATGGGCACACAGATTACTTCAAAAAAAAAAAAAAAAAAAAAAGGAGGAGGAGGAGGAATAGGAAAATTCTATACTTTAGGTAAAGGTTAATGGGAAACCATGAGTTTCTGCATCGGTGCAATGAGAATGATAATACTCCTGGAGTCACCAGGGAACAAAATGAGAATACAAGGGAAAGGTCTTTAGTGCTGTAGGAAAACTATATAATATCGTTAGTGGTAATAATATGCTGTGCCGCCTTCTTGAGTAATAGAAGTAATAGTTCAAGTCCCCTTCTACGTGGGGATAGGAAATAGTCCATAAAACCCTGACTTACTCAAGGGAACTGATGGAGGGGCACCTGGGTGGCTCAGTAGGTTAAGTGTCTCCCTTCGGCTCAGGCCATGATCCTGGAGTCCTGGGATCGAACCCTGCATCGGGCTCCCTACTCAGCCAGGAGCCTGCTTCTCCCTCTCCCTCTGCCTGCTCTTCCCCATGCTTGTGCTTTCTCTCTCTGTCAAATAAATAAATAAAATATTTTAAAAAATTAAAAAGGGAACTGATGGAAAGGTCAGAAGTTTATTTTGGTTGAAATTTCCAGCATGAGGTTCCAGAAGCCCAGGGATGAGCTCAGTTGTTTGGAGCAGGATCACACCATTTATGGCCGTGTGTATTCCCCAACTCCATACCAACTCCCCAGCACCACTCCCAGGAAGGATCGGTGTGCCACCTCCTCATGCCCACCAGAGGAGAACCACTTGGACACCCTTTCTTCTTGATTTCTTCCCATCAGGACTTGGGCCCAGCATCTGCTTAGGTCAGCTTTTGTAGAAACTGCCCTCGTTCAAAAACATTACACTCCTCTGAGCTGTTCATGGCAAAATAGTGATCCCAGTTAGCACACAGATTACATTTTAGGAAAATTTCAACACCTTTCCAAATCTGGGACGTTTTATTCCTGTAAACTAGGTACAACAGAACCTTGGGACAGAGGCAAAACCCGGGGTTCACCTCTCCAGCATGACCAGCACTGACAGACCACCATGGAGGACTTACTGGTTCCTGTGGTGCCATTTCCTCTCTGCTTGAAATTAATCAACTATTATGCAGGTACAGAAGGGCAACATCTTAACTACCACCCCAGTGCGGAAGGATAGAGTTTCAGCAGGTGATTGACAACCCATTACCACAACCAGCTCTGGTTGAACAAACCAGACACAATTCTTCCCCAGAGTAACTGATGACCATAAATGCTCCACAGTCCTACACACCAGAGGTTGCAAACTTGTATTTTCTCCTTGACCAATATAATGCCTTTTAAATCTTTTTGAAAATGTAAATGCCAGTTTTTAAAAAACACAATATTTGGGGCGCCTGGGTGGCTCAGTTGATTGGGCGTCTGCCTTCAAGTCAGGTCACGATCTTGGGGTCCTGGGATGAGCCCTGCGTGGGGCTCCCTGCCTAGTGGGGAGTCTGCTTCTCCCTCTCCCTTTGCTCTCCCCCGGCCCCAGCTCTCTTTCTCTCAAATAAGTAAAATCTTTATAAATAAATAAATAAATATCACAACATTTTACATAAAAATCCAGTTTTCCATCTTATCTTGAATAATCAAAAGATCTGGCAAATTGTCGGAGGCTGAGGACTGAGTTAAGACCAGCCTCTTAGACCACAGTCCCCAGTCTGCCTCCACGCCTCAGGAAAGTGGAGGGACGGGCCCAGAATTTCTGAGCTTGTGTACCCACTCCCATTTGGACCAAGTATTATGAGCTTCATTATCCCTCCTTTGTGACCCGTTCATATGTAAAGAGCCTACTCCGAACATAACTTAAGGACAATATAACTTAAGGAACGTGTAGGTGATAAAACAAGCTTTGGTCCCTCCAGGCCATCTCTGATGGCTCTTAGGTGATTATTTGCAGCTACTTCTGGAGGGTAAGGATGAAAAGCTTCCTTCCATCAAAGACTTAGGTTAGGTCACTCTATTGGCTCCCCTTTTCCATTCTGGCTCATCTCTTCCTTCGTTCATTCGTTCATTCATTCATTCCTTCATTCCTTCATTTAAGACTCAGAACTTTTTTTTTAATACTTACGAAGGTGGTAAGGTAGTGTTCTCAAATCATTTTTAGATGGAGAATTTTTTTTTTAAATGCATTACTGGGGGGCGCCTGGATGGCTCAGTGGGTTAAAGCCTCTGCCTTCGGCTCAGGTCATGATCCCAGAGTCCTGGAATCAGGCCCCGCATTGGGCTCTCTGCTAGGCGGGGAGCCTGTTTCCCCCTCTCTCTCTCTGCCTGCCTCTCTGCCTACTTGTGATCTGTCTGTCAAATAAATAATAAAATCTTTAAAAAAAAAAGCATTACTGGGAGTCCCCATGGCTGCTGGAGGAGAGAGGTGCCTCATGCTTAGGGGACTGGTAGCCCTCCGAGAAGGCGAGGTGTCCTGACTACTTTGCCCAGAGCGAGCAATGGAAGAAGTTGCAGAGGGAGAGCTAGCAGCGGGAGGTTAAGCGGCTGCCTGGTGGTCCCAACCCTGTGGCTGTGTCCCCACCTCCTGCCCCCACCCGGAAGGAAGGGGATTCACCCCACTTGTGGTGGCACATGGTGACCAGGCCCCAGGGGCAGCGCATGTCCACGGAGAGGAAGACACCTCACCAGTCAGACACGCTGGCAAGGGAAATAAGGGAATAAGTTCCACAACATATACACACTTGCTTTAATAAAAATAACTCGGCATGGGATAGATTAATTAATTAGCTAATTAATTAATTATGCATTACTGGAATTGCACTTTGCGGTACATACCCAAAAGAATTGAATGAGATACGTACACACCCACGGTCATTCCTGACAGCGTTATTCCCAATAGCCCAGTGTCTACTGAGGATAGACGGATAAACATAAAATGCGGGGGCGCCTGGGTGGCTCAGTGGGTTAAGCCTCTGCCTTCAGCTCAGGTCATGATCTCAGGGTCCTGGGATCGAGCCCCTCGATGGGCTCTCTGCTCAACAGGGAGCCTGCTTCCCCCTTCTCTCTCTGCCTGCCTCTCTGCCTGCTTGTGATCTGTCAAATAAATAAATAAAATCTTTAAAAAAAAAACATAAAATGCGGTATATATGTAACAATGGAATATTATTCAGCTTTAAAAATGAAGGAAATTCTGGGGCGCCTGGATAGTTCAGTGGGTTAAAGCCTCTGCCTCCAGCTCAGGTCATGATCTCAGGGTCCTGGGATCAAGCCCCACATCGGGCTCTCTGCTCAGCGGGACGCCTGCTTGTCCCTCTCTCTCTGCCTGCCTCTCTACCTACTTGTGATCTCTGTCTGTCAAATAAATAAATAAAATCTTTTTTAAAAAATGAAGGAAATTGTGACACAGGCAACAGCATACATGAACCTGGAGGACATTATGCTAAGTGACACTGGCCAATCACACAAAAGAAACATATACTGTATGATTCCATTCACATCAGGAATCTAGTGACAGAAAGCGGGCTGGTGCTTGCCAGGGGCTGGGGTGAGGAGAAAATGGGGAGTGGTTGTTCAGCAGATACAGAATTTCAGTTTTGCAAGATTAAAAAGTTCTGAAGAAAAAAAAAGGAGGAAAGTTCTGAAGAGCTGTTGCACGACAGTGCGAATATTTTTTAACACTACTGAGCTACATTCTTGAAAATGGATAAGATGATAATTTTTTTTAACCACGATTAAATTTTTAAAAATGCATCCCTAGAGGGGGCGCCTGGGAGGCTCATTTGGTCAAGCCTCTGACTCTCGATTTCAGCTCAGGTCATGATCTCAGGGTGGTGAGCTTGAGTCCCACACGGGGCCCTGTACTGGGGATGGAGCCTGCTTGGGATTCTCTCTCTCCTTCTCCCTCGGCCCCTCCCCCCACAAATAAATAAAATCTGGGGTGAAAAATGCATCACTGGGGGGATGAGCCAAATGGGTGAAGGGGAATGAGAGATACAGGCTTCCTGTTATAGAATAAGTCACCGCCGGGACTGAAAGGTACAGCACAGGGAACACAGTCAGTGGTATTGTAATAGCGTGGTGTTGGGGACAGATGATGGTGGCACTCGTGGTTGGCACAGACCCTAACGTACAGACTTATGGAATCACTATACTTGTTACACCGGAAACTACTGCAACATTGTGTGTCAGTTACAATTTTTTAAAAAAAATTACATAAAACAATAAAAAATAAAGATCAATCTATTAAAATTAATTAATACTTAAATTGCATCACTGGGTGTCAGGAGACATAGGTTCTACTAGAGGCTTCAACGCTGACTTCTATGACCTCAAGCAAAAGGCACTCACTAGAACTCAGACCCTTTTTTGCAAACGGGAGGGTAGAAGAGATGGTAATAAAAACACCAGCCTGGGGCGCCTGGATGGCTCAGTGGGTTAAAGCCTCTGCCTTCGGCTCGGGTCATGATTCCAGGGTCCTAGGATCGAGCCCCGCATCGGGCTCTCTGCTCACCGGGGAGCCTGCTTCCTCCTCTCTCTCTGCCTGCCTCTCTGCCTACCTGTGATCTCTGTCAAATAAATAAATAAAATCTTTAAAAAAAAAAAAAGAAAGAAAGAAAGCAAGAAAGCCAAAGTCTGTGTTAGGGGCCAGGACCTTACGGAGGAAAGAACAAGAGGTTGTCCTCAAATCCCTCACAGTCTAGTGGAAAAATAAAAAACAAAACTAGAAAAACATTTGCAATATAATTTGTTAAGGGTCACTCTAATGTATGCTGAAGGCAAATATATATGATTTACCTTCCCTATAATGGGATGAACGTTGGGTATAAACAGGGATGTGTTGTTTGGATAAATCAAAAGGTCTTACCTTAAGGCGTGTCTGGCTGGCTCATTGGATAGAGCTGGAGATGCTCGACTTTCCAAGTGTGAGGTCAAGCCTCATGCTGGGCATAGAGCTTACTCAAAAATAAAACAAAACAAAAAACAGTTCTTAAATGGGTTAGTAGCATATACATTTAAAGCTTCAGACAATCTTTTCCAAGTGTTTAGTTTTAAAAAAGAAAAAAAAAAGTGTATGTATACTTTTGTCCACAGCCTTTTCCTTAGACCCAATTTCCTGATAGCCATTTTGATTCAACAATTTAATTTGTGAATGTACTCATTTGCTAATTACCTGGGACAAAGAGAGTTCCTGCTGGCGGGCAGGCAGCCCCCACCCCTCCCTCGCTCAGGCTGGGGTTGGTGGAGATCAATATACTCTGTTTACATAATTATGCCGTCACAATTACTATTCACAGCCAAGCTCTCCAGTCTACTATGATTAAGCTTCGTTTCTTTTTCAGGCCCTTCCCCACTTTTTTTTTTTTAACTTTCTTGGAGTTAATTATTAATAAAAACAAATTCATTTTTATTTGCTCAGTGTTCCATGTCCTTGTAACGAATTCATCCTCCACCATCACTAAAGGTATAAATTTTTCTTCTATTATTTCATCTTATTTCTTGGAGACATCCTTTCCGGGCCCTTCTGTCTTCCTGTCCCAGTCTTAACTGATTACTCGCTAGGCCTGCTGCCAATCCATCTGTCACCCTGGAATGTCCCTCCAGCATCATCTTGGGGATTCTCTTCATGTCTCACCTATGTTGAATTGTCTGTTTCCAGGATCACATGTCTTCCTGTTTCTTGGGGTTTTTTTTTTCTCTCATTTTGGTGTACCACATCCTCCAAGAGGTTTCCTGAGAAAGAGTCCATGGGTAGGAAGTAAAGTTTTTAAGATTTCACATGTCTGAAAGTGTGCATACTTTCCTGAATTCAGAATGTGACTGATTTGTAAAACTACAGGTCGCAAATAATAAGCAAGTTTTCCTCCACTGGCATCCAGCATGGCTGAGGAGAAGGATGGCCCCATTCTGATGGCTGTTCCTTCGAACATGACGTGGTTTTTATCTCTGGGAGGTTTGGATAACCTTTCTGTGTTTACTCACTGATCTGAATTGTCATGATTTCTTTTCCTCCATTATGTTGGGCACTCAGTGGGCCCCTCATTCTGGAGATCTAGGCCATTCAGTTCTGCAATAATTTCTTGAATTATTTCTTCCATGCTTTCCCTCCATTGTTCTCCATAACTGTTCTGAGTTGCATATTAGTCCTCCTGGGCTACCTCTAGCTTTTAAAAAATTCTTTCATGCCCATTTTTCTTTTTACTTTCTTTCCTTAAGTAGGCTATGTGCCCAGCGTGGAGCCCAACATGCGGCTTGAACCCATGACCCTGAGATCAAGACCTGAGCTGAGATCAAGAGTGGGATGCTTAACCGACTGAGCCACCCGGCCACCGCTGATGCCTGTTTTCTGACTTTTTTTTTTTTTTAGGTTATTTCCTAAATTTTATCTTCCAACACTTTGATTGAAGTTACTGGTTTTCATATTTTTAGATCTGTTTTATTCCCTTATGTTCTTTTTAGATAACCTTCTGTTCTTGTTTCATGGATGCAACATCTCCTTATCTGAGAATATTTATCTTTTTTTTTTTTTAAGATTTTATTTATTTGGGGCACCTGGGTAGCTCAGTGGGTTGAGCCTCTGCCTTCAGCTCAGGTCATGATCTCAGGGTCCTGCATTGGGAGGGATGAAGGAGAAGACTCCCTGCTGCGACTTGATCCTAGGACCCAGAGATGATGACCTGAGCCGAAGGCAGACACTTAACCTACTGAGCCACCCAGGTGCCCTTTTTTAAGTTTAGATTTTGTTTTGTTCTGTTTTCTGTGCCATTACTGTATTCTCCCATTTCCCTTATCTTATTTCTTTGTTTGGTTTTTGTCTTTCATGTCAGAGTTTCTACAATTACCTAATGGTTCATGCCAGTCCATTCATGATTGAGACTGAGCTACTAAAATTGTCTGAAAGTTTGGTGTTCATGAAACAGGGCTTCTCGGTTGGTGAGCATTCCCATAGTGAGCTGATTTTCACAGGGGACTCTAAGCTCCTAGCATCTGTATCGGGTTGCATGGTGGCCCCCAAAAGACACATCTACATCCTAATCCCTACAACCTGAGAATATGACCTTGTTTGGAAAAACAATTTTTGCAAATATAAGTTAAGGATTTTGAGATAAGACTATCCTGGATTATCAGGGTGGGCCCTAAGTCCCATAAGAAACATCTATGAGAGACCCTGAGAGGAGAAAGGCACATGATGATGGATGCATTTACACACTAAGGAACATCTGGAGCCAGAGGCTGGAAGAGACAAGGACAGGAACAGGCCCTCAAGCCTCCAGAGGGAACACGGCTCTGCTTGCTACCTTGCTTTCAAACTTCTGGCCTCCAGAACTGGGAAAGGATAAGTTTCTTTCGTTTTGAGCCACCAAGTTCTTGGTAATTTTCTACAGAAGCCCTAGGAAACAAATACAGTATCCGTGGGTGTTTTCTCCCAGGCTTGTCAGTTTTCCCAAACAAAAATCCTCCAATCTACTTGTTGTGAGGTATTAGCTCAGTTGGGAGAATCTTAGGGCCAAGGGGACGAGGGGACCAGGAGGTCTCAACCGTTTGGTATTATGTTGTCTTTACCTAATTCCTTATGTTTCAGTACGATACAATACTTTGTCATCCACAGTTCAGAGTTTTTCTAGATTAACCTTTCAAGAAGGTGTATTAATCTTTTTCTTTTTTTTTTTTTACTTTATGTATTTCCTGATGCTTTGGCATCTTGGGACCTTGCTGATTCTGAAAAGACTGCCCCTTCCAGGCTAGCCAATTCTTCAAGATCGTAAACTTTTCTCCCTTCAGTGCCCCCTTTTATCCACAGACCCACCAAACCAAAGCCCTTCCCTCGACTACCTACTTCACTACTTCCCTCAAGGGTTGCTATTCCTCTGCCCTCATCACTCCAAGGCCAGTTAGCAGACAATCAGAGACAGTCCCTACACCCCAGGGTCCACTGAAATTGTTAAACTAGCCAACCCTAAACCTGTTGACCCTATCTCACCTGTTCCTGTGTTAACCACAATACAGCCTCTGGCTGAGACGTGTATCCGTACAATAGAATACAATGGAAAGGAACGAGCTATTGGTAACACACAGCAGCACTGATGAAGCTAGCGACAGGAGAGTCCGTGATGCATTTTATTTATATAGAGCTCTGAAAAAAAACACAAAAAACAAAAACACTACACAATAAAATGTCAGAAAGACTGTGGTTGCAGGATGAAAGGTTGACTGCCAAGGGCAGAAGGAGTGGCACTGGCAAACTGGTTCTCAAAAAGGAAAAAAGCAAACCCTGATTAATGGCACTTTACTGGTATCTTCAGTGGAAACACTTCCACCATTGCCAATTTTGAGCTACTTATGCCATGTCACTAAACCTGTGGTTTTGAGAAGAGATGTACGTAATTTGGCTCTCCCAAGCGGATACTCGGGTATTAGCCAGCTTTGACACACCATACAGTAAGGAACAAAGACGATGAAAATGTTCTGTATTTTGGGCACCTGGGTGGCTCAGTCAGTTGGGCATCTGCCTTCAGCTCAGGTCATGATCTCAGGGTCCTGGGATTGAGCCCCGTGTCAGGCTCCCCGCTAAGTGGGGAGCCTTCTTCTCCATCTTCTCCCCACTTGTGCTCTTCTTGCTATCTCTGTCTCTCTCTCAAATAAATAAATAAAATCTTTTTTTTAACCTTAAAAAAAATGTATTGGTGGGAGCATGGGTGTACACACTTGCTGAAACATATCAGAGTGTACCCTGAGAATGGGTGCAGTTTATTGCATGTAAATTACGCTTCAAGAAATTGATTATAACTTTTCAAATAAAATATTAATAACAACCAAAATGCCCACAAAAAGAGACTGGTTAGGATGCCGCCACTCAAACAACTTAGAAGATCTTAGCAACATGGCAAAATGCTTTGCTGTATCATGTTTTGTAAAAAGGCAGAACAGGAAATGTTATTTTTATCATGTGTTTGCCTATGCAAATTCTGTAGGCAGATGGATAATGTCCGGCCTTTTTTTTTTTTTTTTTTTTTTTTTTTTTTAATTAGTTGATTTTTGTGTGTGTGCATTTAAAAGCAGTAGAGAGAAAAATGGTTGAGAACCCAGAATCCCCACCGGACTGCCTGGGTTAGGATTCAAATTCCGGGTGTCATTTCCTTGGGTGACCTCTTGGAGACTTAGTTTCTTTCTTTTTTTAAAGATTTTATTTATTTATTTGGAAGAGAGAGAGAGAGAGAGAGAAAGAGAGAGAGAGAACGCACGCATGCGCACACGAGTGGGGGAGGGGGAGGGGCAGAAGGAAAGAGAATCCTAAGCAGGCTCCATGCTCAGTGTGGAGCCTGATGCGGGGCTCAATCTCAGGACCCTGAGACCACGACCTGAGCGGAAATCAAGAATCCAGCACTTAACTGACTGAGCCCCGCCGGACAGCGCTTGGAGCCTTAGTTTCTTGACTGTAGAAAGGGTGTAATAATGGTACTTATCTCCTAGGGTTGTCATGAGGATTAAATGAGTTAATATAGGTGAAGAGCTTAGAACAAGGAAAATAGAAAGGGCTTTATAAATATTAGCTGTTATTTTCATGAGGCAATGATCCTGTCTGGACAATAAAAATGCTATGTGCTGTGCATTTTAGGGAGTACAGGAATTTATAAGACATGGACTGTGACCTCAGGGAGCTACAGCAGTGTTTCCGAACAACGGGGTTGGAGGGGGCAATTTTTGCCATCAGAGGACATCAAGCAAGGTCTGGAGATACCTGTGATTGCCATGACTCAAGAAGGGAGTGGTCCTAGCATCTCGTGGGTGGAAGCCAGGGATGCTACTAAGAAATCCTGCAACGCACAGAACAGCTCTCCCCTACCCAGCAAATAAGTGTTTGCCCCAATGTAACAACAGGGCCAAGTGTGAGAAACCTTGGGTTATGCTATAACAGGGGAAAAAGATAGATGTGTGCAAACAAAACATGCATACA